CCCTCCCTCTCTCTCTCTCTCTCTCTCTCACACCCCCTATTGCCTCTCGTCGACGGGGGTGGGTCTGCTTTAATATCGAAGAAAATTATGTAATCGGTAGCCGTTACGCCTCCCGCGCAGCCCCTCCAGCAGGGAAATTGATCGTGCATGCAAATAAAGTGCCATTATCCCGTGGCGAAGGCCTGAACGTGTATGTAGATGGTCGGTCGAGGGGACGGGCGAGCAGAAACCGCCCCTCGAGACTTCGATTTTCGTCGAAAGCCACGATAAGACGCGAGAACTGTTGCGAATTGCGCTCCTGCCGGTGTAGCCAAGTTTCGCAGTGGTTTCGGTGAAGCAGTTGAAACCGAATACACCTCTCTCGGAAAATCGCTTCCGTACCTTTCGTTCTACGAGTTTACTTATTTACGAATTCCGCTAGTCTGCCGCTATTCTCCACGTATAATATTCTCGAGGATCGAAACGGTTAGGGGATTTTCTAGAAATTGCCGAAGAAGTTCGTGGAGAACGCGAGGAAATAGCTGCGAAACCACGGAGAAAGTGCGGCGAAAGCGCGATAACAAAAACGGTAATCGCAGCCGTGGTGCTTTCATGGGGTTCCGGGATGAATTATAGGCTTCAGATACATTAGGTCGGGGTTATGAAGCGTTATCAATTGCCGCTAAGAAAATAAATCTCCGCTACCCCCTGCGCTCGCACCACTTTTCAGACTGGCAGAGGGTGGGCCACGCGAACGATCCAGGCGGAAGGAGGAGAACGTCGCCTAACCCGGCTAACGACGTGGAACTATTGCGTTTTAGGGTATACATCCTCCTCCTTTTCCCTCTCTCTCTCTCTCTCTCTCTCTCTCCGTGCTCGTACGCGTTTTCGTCGCCGCGTATATTGATGTTCGAAGCACGTGTCCCGGGGACCAGCGTGCGCCAAGCAGACGCACATGATCCTGCGAACGAGAAGCCGACTCTCTCTCGAGAGTCACGTACCGGGGTTACAACCGGGAATGGCTTTGACATTCTAAAATTGGAAGAAGCTTAGGAACGTCAGCCGCCGCTTTCTCGCCACGCCAGGGAACCGTGGTATTTGTCGAAAATCTCCCGACTAGGCACGCGTACCTTGAACGTGGCAATGAAACGGTGAAGGGTGGAAAGCGTGGGAAGCATTATTTTTCCCCGTCTCCTTTTCCTCCATTTTTCACCATTTTTTCCTCTCCTTTTTTCTCTCTCGATACCGAGTCGAGCGAGTAACCGCTAAACCCGCCGCGATTTGAAGCTTTTATCGAAAAATTTCGCGCTAGTCGTCGTCGGTGGTCGCGCAATTTTTCGATATCTCGTCTCCTCGCTGAGTTAATCGCTGTAAACGTGTGCGTCTGTCTGAAACGCTGCACCGATCACGCGTTTAGTAGGAGAAAACTGGAAGAAACGATCACGAGGTTTTCCATCTCGTTCGGTAAATTGCTATTCGCGAACTCTCGCGATTTACGACGCCACGTCGCGCGGCAGATCGAGCATTTACAAGCGGTGCAACCGCAACGCGCCGCGACAAGAAGCACCGATGAGAATTCGCCGTTACATAATTCATAAAACGCGGCTCGAATCTCGGTGAAACTTTGCATACGGCGTAATTCAATCCCGATTTCACGCAGGCAGGAGAATATCGCTTGCGATGACGCAATTTCGTCCCACCCCCGCCCGCTGCGAATCGCGTCCCACGTCGTCTTTGTTGCCATCGTGTTCACCGTCTGTCGAGCGACGCGACCACTTAAAATTATTATTCCGTTCGAGCTGCACGCTTGCCACGGCGGTTTTTATTACGGCCCGTTTAACGGCCACGATAATAATGATCCGAATGTTTATCGTCGAAAGCGCGGAATAAACGCGCCACGCTGTAAAGCGATAAAACGAGTGGCGCGCAGGGACGAGTGGAAACGAGCCTGTCCCCTGGCGTAAATGGAGAGGAACCGAGCTTAAAACTTTCCTTAGACGATGCTCGTAATATTTAGCGGTACGCGGGAAACGTTTAAAAACTCGTCTTCTTGTTCCACCGCTTCCTCTTCCTCCTCTTCGTCCCTTTTCTCCCTGGCCCCCGCTGCCAGCCCCCGCTCTCCCCTCCGTGAAAGGCACCCATGGTCCACGCGAACACGTTTCGTCGTGGAAAAAAAAGGAATAACGGGAGAAGAAAGAAGGGTGGAGAAAGAAGAAGAAGAGCGTATAAAAGTTGCCGCGTAAATTATTCATGAATGGTGGTCGGCCTGCTCGTCCGCGATGAGCACGCTTCGCGGATACGCGAGAATTACCGGCGCCATTTGCACGGTACGTCTTAAACGGCTGCGAGATCGTATCGCGGAGTGGCCCCTTAAAACGAGGAATTAACGCCCGCTGGTTACTGTAATCTCCAGTCGGGCGATAATCTTTCGACGCGCGGCTTAACGCCATGCCGTAACAAAGTCTCGAATTAGCGGCCGAGCTTTCTCGCTTCTGTTGCGTGTTCGGCGAAAAGGAACCCATCGAGCCGGACAGCCGAGAGTGCTCCGCCGACACCACTCTTCGCGATATCGCGTTCCCTCGTGTTCGAGGAAAGCTTTTCAACGCTCCACCGATTCGCCAACGGTCGAATGGCGTACGATATAATTAGACGCTAATTAGCGGTATCGACGCGACTCGCGCGGGACGACGGCGCGTTGGACTTGTTAAAAGGAAAAAATCCACCGATGGTATATTCGATTTAGAAACGTGGCTCGAGCTCTCGCGGAGAAGCGCGACGGGGAGAAAACGCGAGAGAAATCGGTTTCGATAATAAAGTAATTAACATTCTGCAATTCCTGTAGCATCATCCCGTGGCCGCGCGTCTCTGTGACCGGTTCGCGAGGCAGGAATAAGAAAGAAACACGTCGTTTAATGTTCACAGCAAACCGGCAGATGGACGTGGCTCTGTACGTCGGCTTGACTGTCGCGTGTGTGGTAATCGGCGGCCTGGCATTTTTCTTAGCGAAGCTTCTGAGGCGCAAAGGTCGGGACCATTCCCTTTACTCCATGGCCCGTAACGGTAAGCATTTCACAGATGGGGAAAAAAGAACAGCCGCATTGGTTGGCACTCCGCGAACGAAGGAGCGAAACACGGTGTTCCGTGGCTGCGCGTGCGATCATGCTTCGCGTTTCACTCGACTTTCCAGCAAATTGGACTCGTCCTCGGTCCTTCGTCCGCTCGTACTCGAAAATATCGAAATTGATACTATTTCGAAGTTTGATCGACGCCACGTGTTCGCTACTTTCATCTAGAACATTTCCTGGCTTTATCGTTCCTTCGATAATCCGATGCGCGAGTTAATTCCGCGCGCTGTATTTTACGACTGGCGCAGCGTATAGGCAGCAACGAAAGGATCGTAATCTATGGAGAACTCGATGATACGCGAGTTCCAGAGCGGATGATTCGATAAAGGCGACTAACTTTAGATTATAAGCTTGATCTCTTCCGGGGATAATAGCTCGTTCGACGAGACGAGGTCGGTCGGATCCGTTTCGTTACTCGCGCGTGTGTTTCTCTTCGCCGACTGGTCTCGTCGAACCGTGTACGCTCGTGCGCCGTAAAATCGCTAAACCGAATACGCTTTTTAAAATCCGATGAAAGTGGCGGACGTGGTTTGCCCTGAAATCGGAATAGTATCACAGCGGCGTCTGTCCGCAGCGCGCAGAGATACCCACGAGCCGTGGCTCGGCGGTGTGCGTTTCAGAATTCCAGCCGGAGTTCTTCCCGGACCAGGACAAGAAGCTGAGCCTTCAGCCGGACGTAACGGCGACGAGCGTGCCGGCCTGCTACGAGTATCCTTTCGACCCGAAGCTGTCGATGTCGAGATCCCTCTCCGAGCACCATTACGACGTGCCCCACCTGTCGATCGCGCCGCAACCTTCGCCAATGTCCCCAACCCCAAGCACCTCGACGCAGGAGTCCTGCAGCGACAAGCAGATCCATTCCGACTGCGAGAACAGCGTCACTAGCTCGTACCCGTCCTCCGACTCGACGTACAACGTCGCCTCGGAGAGCGTCCGCTTGCCGAAGCTCGAAACCGGAAACGTGGCCGGGGCGGCGGTGAACACGCGTGGCGCGCTTCTGGTGCTTCCGGATGCGGGCATATCGATGTCGGTGCCCGAGGGAGCCGTGCCGAAGCCACTCAGGGAGGAACTCTACCTGGCGGTGCTGAACGAGGATCGCTTTAGGCCTCGATTACCCGGTAAGTGGTGCGTGCATTATTAATTGCCGTGCGCTGCCCGTGACGGTTCCGCTGCAACGAACGCCTCATCGATCCGGCTCGATTGCGATTCAATTGACGCGGACGGTCTCGATGGAGTGGTCTGTGGGTGTCTTTGAGGCGAGGATGCTCCCGAGCGTAATATTCCACGCGCGTTATCGCGCACCGTAACACGCGCGTAATCACCGCGTACCAGACGAAGCTCCTCGTAGACGCTTCAGACCCTTCGCTGCAACGTCTTCCGGGCATCGGACACTGGCCGATATACTCGCGGAGCGTGCCAATTTACGATTCTTCGATTCCGCGGATAAGCTATCGTTACGGATTATCGAGAGGATAGAATTTAGACGTTCGTTCTATTGATCCTCGCCGCGGTACCACTCTTCGCGGCTAATCGCGCGTATCCAGGTAATAGCTAGACATCCGTGTGTGTTATTCCCGCAGACGGTATCACGCAACTGTCCGCGGTGGTGACGTGCGGCCCCTCGTCGGCCACCTTCAACAAGCCTGTGATCCTGCAATTCGAGCACTGCGCGATGCTTCACCCTGCCACGTGGGAGCTCAGTGTCTGGGCCTGCGACGGTCTGAGCGTCGAGGACGGGACGGCGATCGCCTCCTCCAAGGACCATCAATCGATCACGTGGACCAGGGTGTTGACGTTGGGCAACGAGACGATCAACACGCCGCTGTTCACGCAGCTCGACCACGCGGAGGCGTTCATCGTGACGGAGCAACTGAGAGGTTACGTTCTGGCTGGCCAGAGCTGCGAGAACGTGATCGCGACGAAGAGACTGCGATTGGCGTTGTTCGCCAGTCAAGCCGGCCAATGTTGCGTCAGGGTGTACGCCGTGGAAGACACGAAGGCTGCGATGAAGGCGATCGTCGACAGAGAGTCTCAGATTAGAGGTTACCTGTTGGATAAGCCGAGAACGTTGCTGTTCCAAGACAACGGCGAGTCGCTGTGCGTCAGTCTAGAGGAAGTAGGGAACGAGTGGCAGAGCAAGTCGCCCACGGAACGACAGGAGATCTCGTTCAGGGACATGTGGAACTGCCTGGAGAACACGAAACACGTCACCTTCGGTTTGGACACCGCGTTCGGACCTACGAGCAGCAGAAGCTACAAGCTTCAGGTGTCGCAGGGGAACTCGGAGACCAGGCAGGTGTTCAGGATCGTGTACGACGGTGCGAAGCAATTGATCTCGTCCGGGAGCGTGACCAGACCGCTTAGAGAGGTGACGGTGGTCAGCAGCGGGCATGCTAATAACGCCACCACCGACTCCACCACCCTCAGACCGTTTCGGTTTACCAGGTCCCTGAGGAAGCAGCTCTGCCAATGCCTGGACCCGCCGAACGCTCTCGGCAACGACTGGAGGATGCTGGCGCAGAGGCTTCAAGTCGACAGGTTAGCTATCTTTCGATATTTCCGCGTTCGCTCGGCTACCCGTTTATTCCGCTAACCGGGATCACTCACACTGGACGTATCCTCCGGGGACACGTATGCTTTATTTATGAATCGCGTTTGGGTACCCCCTCCGAGGATTCGCTTCTCTCTCGGGACACGATCGTTCTTGACAGCCGTTGATTCGTAGCTCCCGTTTGCGTTCAACGGTAAATAATCGTTTCCGGTGTAAGAATCGAAAAGACGAATTTCCATCGCGTATTCCTCATCGACGACGAAACTTTTCTCCACGACCTGAAACACGCGGCATTCTCCTCGACTTGCAGGTACATCAACTACTTCGCGACCAAGTCCAGTCCCACGGAGCACATCCTGGACCTGTGGGAAGCGAAACACCACGAGCCAACCGCGGTTACCGACCTCCTGAACCATCTTCGAGTGATGGGCCGAACCGACGCGGCCACGATCCTCGAGGCCCAGTTGGGCCCGTGGCTCTGAACGAGCGGCGGATCCATGGCGTCCCGTGACGTTTCCTGTGGTGAGTGAAAGTCCACGAACTCGACTCGAGTGAACGAAATGTGGTGAATTGAACGTTGTTCCTCCGAACGAACTCATCGAAACACTGCCTTAATTTTGCGCGGGACACGTGCCTCTCCCGCTTGTCCCTCTTTGTACATAGAGACTTTCGTTTTTGTAAGATGAACGTTGTTCGAGGCGGCATCGACGGATCTGTACGAGGATCGTATTGTAATAATCGTGAAACGAAGTAAACTAGAGACTGTGCATTTAGATGGTTATATATGTGTACATACGCGCTAAGGACTGGCGAACAGATGCAAATGGATATATCCATTTAGACGGATGTTTATATATATAAATATATATATATATATAGTTAGTTAGATAGATAGAGAACATCGAGGCAAGGAACGAAGAACGAAATGAAGGAGAAAACGAAATCGTTCCAACGCGATAGAAGAAGCGACAGCGAAAGGTGTAAACGAGAAATAAAAAGACGAACGAAAAAGGTAAAAAAAGAGTAAAGGAACGCGTTTTTATCGATTTGTTATATATACGGATGCACGAGCACACACGCGAGTGGCCACCGGTTTCCTGGAAGGACGATCGTGCCAAAATTCTCACTCTCGGTTTCGAAACTCACGAACCCGTTTCCGTTGACGTTTGTATTCAGATGTTTGTTAAAAAAAAGAAAATAAAAAAATATGCGCCTGTGGTTTCTTTCGTGCACGTCGACAATACACTGCCCCGTACACACACCCCGTTACCCTCGACCACGCGAACAACAGGACGAAGGTATAACACGCACGCGCGTGTACGATCGGGGCGGAAGTTCGATCGCGTAGAAAACGACCCCGACTTCGCAGTAAAAATCCGATGATTTTTAAATCGACGCAAGTTTATTTGGAAGAATTGTATATTTGTTACTTTCGACGAATAAAATATTCTTGTATACCTCGAGCTGTTGTTCAGTCATTTTGCTCTCACCTCCTTTCTTCCCCCGGAGCTCGCGAGACCGAATTTATAGGTGCTCGATTTAACGCGCGTTCTCCGTTTTTCTCTTATTTCGATCCTGAACGCGAGACAAGCACGGTAGAATTATAATTCCCGACGCAAAGTATTCGCGGTTAGAAGGAAGGAAAACAGTTGGATTTGGCGCGTGCTGAGTCCAGATTTGAACCGGCATAAATACGGATTAGCCTCGCCTTATGTTAGAATAAATAGACGCTGGACCGGGCTAGGCCTGGAATAAGCACGGCTTAGGTCTACAAACACGAGGAATGAACCCGACACCATCACCGCGTCTCGAGGTAAGTAATTAGAAGCTGAGCAAATAGATAGTATTCCCTCGGAGGCATCTAGAATATCGATTAGTCGAATCATCGTATAAATTATTCGTCGCGTATTTTAGGTCGTAAACTAATAAACGCGGCTCATAAATAGAAGCTCTAAGGCCTCGGCGTATTCCAGGGTTCCTCCTCCGACTCGGTCTTAAATTTCCACGTAACAGGATCGCAATTATGAACCGAAGGTTCGGTTAATATTCACGGTCGTCCGCGAAAGACTTTCCTAAAGAGGAAACCCCGTCGGAGCAACGAGTAACGCGATACGAACGTCGCCTAATGCCCAAAGAGAAAGAATGCTGCTTTCACTGGTGCAGTGAGTCAGCATCGATCGCGCGTTGGACTGCCACATTTCTGGCGAGTAATCGTCGCAAAGTTCCATGGCGACCATCACGTTCCTCCATTACCGAGTCCCGATTCCGTGATATCGAGTAACCGTTCCGACCGCGCGATGCGTGCACTTAATACGGCCGCGAATTAGTTCGAAACCTTTTACCTCGATGCCATCGTTCCCGGAATTACGGACGTGCTCGCGTAGAACGCCTCGAAAACGTGGTAACAAACCCGCGACCGGGGAACCCTCGAATACGTCGTTCCGCGAAATTACCGTCATCCACCTTTCCGATTCGTTACAGCTCGAGTACCCTTGGCCAACGATTTCCCGAGAAATTGGCAAATTTATTCCATATCTTTCTCCCCCTTTCCCTCTTTTCTTCCCGCAAGGTATGCAACGAAAGCATAATATCGAATATCGATTTTCGTATAATTCCATGATCCCTTGGAGCTCGATGAACACGTTCGCAAAAGACGCGAAGGCAAAGCTCGTCTATAGCAGGCGCGAACTCGATATTTCAACGAAGCACGGAGAAAGAAAATTGCATTTCCTTCTGTAATCGCTTCGCGGAACACGATTTGTTACATGGCCGCGTGCCACATAAATCTAAGTAAATACAGCTTCATACCTATTGGAGGAGCACGCAACGCGACTCAATCAAACCGACGACGACGACGATAACGGCGAGAGGCGAGATTCGGTCGACGATCTATCGAACACGAAATGCCGTCTGTCACGGTCTCTCACGAAAGACACAATGGCTGCCGCAAATGCATTTTATCGACGTATCGCCGATAATTTCCAGCGAAAGACTCTCTTTCCGCCACGACACAGACGCTTCAATTCCGTGTCTGCACGACGATCGCGTGGACGAAAACGAAATCGAAGACGAAAACGAAGACGAGAGGTCTGTCCTGTGAGTCCGTGAGTCGGTTCCGGGGAATATTCCTCGACTTTTCACACGCCAGTGGCAACTATATACGCCATGGCATCGCGACAATGGACGTCGAACGTAGCAATTTCGAAATGTCGATACCAGTCACGCGTACAGCTTTTCCACGGTTTTTGCCAGCCTAGCTGCGAGCACAGCTTCCCGCCTTTCCTACCTATAACCTGCCATTTTTCCCTTCTCCCGATCGGACGCGCAGCTTTCCCTTGATAACCATTAGCGTGTCGTTGTCTGAGCAGCAGCGTGGGATTTCGCCGCGGAGACACGATCAATTCTCCGCGACTTCTTTCTCTTCCGAGCGTTTCGAAACGGTTGCTATTTTCACCGATAATCGGAGATGTTCGACGAGCGTCGTCTATGAAGACACACGTACGACTAGAGTTCACGCGATAACCTTAACCGCTATCTCTCAGGAGGGCGAACAACGCGTTCACGCGTCGCTTCCGCTCGACCAGACAAATTTCCGTGAATCACCGGCTGCGGTTTTTACGAATGGGACTCCCTTGGACAACGGGACGAGCCTGTTATTCGTGCTCGATCGCTCGATCTCGAATTCGTAACCCGTGCGATAACCCCCGACTCCCGGAGATAAGACGATCGTGTCTCGTGCGAGCGCGATCTGTCGATGACAGCTCAATCGGAGAAGCGAGGTCGCGCGCCAGACGAACCGTCCCGACTTCTCCCGTGGAATATGAAAAAGATCGCGGAGCACCACTCGAATCTCGAACGAGGAGGAGTAAAGGGAATCGGTAAAGGAGTAAATAAACGAATAAATAATTCCGGACGCGGAACGGACGGTAGCCGGGAAATTTATATCGCTTAAAAGCGGCGGTTCCCAGAGGGAGTGGTCTGGCAGGGCCGAATCGTGGCATTGTAAAGCGCGTTAAAAAGCTGGACCATCTCCGGAATCTCGTGGCGCGATATTTCATTTAAATTCCACGGTGGAAAAGATCGTGGGGCCGTGTGACTCATCGGTCGTGGCCTGATAGGTGGGTTCGTAGGCAGAAAACACGGTGAAAAGAAAGGGGGGGGCGCGAGCGTGGAAGGTGGAAAAAGGAAGCAAAGGGAAGGATAGGGAAGAAAGGGAAAAGAGGAGAGAGAGAGAGAGAGAGAGAGAGAGAGAGAGAGAGAGAGAGAGAGAGAGAGAGAGCGAGAGTGAGTTTCTCACGGAGGCCGGCTTCTCTCCGAAGGATCTCCGCTGGAGAACTATTACGTCGGAGCGTCGAAAAAAGGGCCCGAGACTGGCCCTGGAGTGGAAAGCCGCGCCTACTAGAAAATTAAAAAGCCCACCACTTGATCTTCGTTCGCGGAACCTGCAGCCGATCCTCTGCTCACAGCGGCGCGCTGTTCGGACCGACGCCGTTGCGTAAACGTAACGGAATGCGCACAAGTGTTCTTCAAGTGCTCCAGCATGTTGCCGCTTGCCGGAGGAAAGTCTAAGTGCCATAAAAATAGCTCGACAGAGGAACGGTTACTTCTCCCTCCTCTTTCGCCGCAGCGTCGCGAGAAGATGAGCCGCCGATGCCGCTTTTGCTATTCGCGCGATCGCCACGCCGGACACTTCGGTATGTCGAATGCTCATTGATATGCGTCTCTACCGGCACCCGTGTCTCGATTACACCCTACCGACAGAGGTTCCCAATGCTTCCTCGTCCACCGCTTTCCTCTTCCTGCTTCTCCGCGTCTCTTTCACTTTTCCGTCCCCCTTGCTCCTGGATCCTTCCATTCTTTCGCTATTTTTGCTTCTTCTTACGAATTTTCTTCCGAATTTTCTCCCGAACACAAATTATTTCGAGCACTCCGGCTATCGCGAGCAAATTCACCGTCCAGGGCTAAGCGAAAATTGGGTCTCGCGAAGTTCTCTTTGCGAAAGGAATTCGGCTCGAAGTGGTCGAATGCGGAACGCGAAGAGTTCCTCGAGACCGAGGGATCTTCTGGTAAAATTCTTTTTCGTCGCATTCCCAGCGTTGGCAACCGCTGACCAAGAATGTACCGCCGTAGTTTCCACGCGCCATCGGCATTAAGCGGTCGGATTTTCTAAATACCCGTGATTACGTGCCACGTCGGATCGAGCGGATCCTCCGCCGACCATCTCGCGAAATAGGCTCGTTTCGTTCCTCCAGTCCCTCCAGACGGTTCACCTGGTCTAAATCGAAATGTCCAGCCGAGTGGTCGATCAACCAGCTGCGCGGACTGGTTTCGAATCGACGAAAAGTAGAGTCGTTTCGAGCATGAATTTTATGCGACCGCTCCAGACACGGCTCCACAATCCGTCGCGATATCTCGATCGACCACCACACGACCAATCCTTATCGTGCATCCAATGATTCGTTCCTTTCGGCTGGGTTTTATTGTCCGTGTCGCGAGGTAAGTGGAAACTGGTCGCGACCAAAACTGGGATCACGCGGTTTTAATTAAGATCGGCAATTACCCGCACCACGCGCGAAATTTTTATCGGTAGACCGAGCAGATAGACGCCATATTTTGTCCACATCGAGTGCCCGTATTTCCACGATTCAATTTCTATCCAAAAAGCTGTCAATCTTCCAGCGTCTTCAACTTCCTTAAAAGAAATCGTACGACAATCCACTCGAGCTGGTTGTAAAGGGGTGAAACTCCTATTTTTACGTCCCTCCGCTGAATTCTTTCAATACCTTTCCGTTTA